GTTGCAAGGTAAAGGACATAATTTTGCCATATGAAGTATTATGACTGCGATAATATAAGTCTGCCATTCATAACAATTTCGACCGTCTGCAGCTTTCATAAAAAGAAAATACAGACGGGAGAGTTTAGGAAGCGACCAAAAACATGTGAAATTCTGGGTAAATTTTGTATAATCACGAAACAACTGATTCTACCGAAGAAGTAGCAGCGGAACAAGTAGGTCAAATATGTTGATGTTTGCGTCAAACGGGCGCGTACAATAACAGGAATATCAAGACAGCTCGGGCAAACAGAGTGAGTATCCCATGTAAGTGATTTTACTGAGATGCTCCTGCTCGTCTTTATTGACAACTCCATAAATTTTTAGACGATGGTCCAGCAACATTTCCACTTTCGCGAGCCAAAAACAGTCCTAGACAGCTAGGAGATGAAGGAGGCGATGACAAACGAGCCAGCGATTTGCGTCGTCGCAGCGAGTACTTGCGCGAATCAATCGTTTCTGCAAAAATACATGCCAGTGAAACGGAATACGAAAATGAAGAGTAAGATCTGCAGTTTCAAAAGTTGTAAGTAGTGACGCGCAGTAGGTGGCTAACTTCATAATGCTCTTCGCACAGTTCTAGTTATTGCGGCTAGAAAGATGCGCCGGTCTGCACTTTCGCATTGTCATAAATGAGACGTAGATGCGTGTGGATGCTATAATTTAAATTCCTAAAGTTGCACGTATACAGGAAGTATACTTTCCGGTTGAGAATAGCTGACAAAGTTCAGTCGCCTCCGAGCACACACACGCACATCCATACACATATACATAATGTGTCTTGCACAGTAACAGCAACAATTATCATTATCATTTCATAGTTATCGCTATTATTACTCTTTTAAAACTTTCATCCCTGATAATCTGATATCGCATTGTTGCGGCTGTTATTAATATAATATCACATTCACAATTAGTAATACATCATTGTCGTTGCAGGATCCGTGATGAACTGACTGATGAAGGAGCTGCAGAAGCTTCAATTTTGGACATTCTGAAATTTTCGAAAAAGGCAGGGCTGCTTGCAGAAAAAAGATTAATTTTCAACCATTCAAATTTCTGGATCAGAAACTAAAATAATTGTTAATAAAGCTTTAGGAGTTACCAGTGGTTGGCGTAGCGCTTATATTCACTCTTTTGAGAGGTCTATCATGGCCCACATTTTCAATTATTTACGGCCGAACATTCTTGGTAAATTTTATCATTTTTTGCTCATAAACCTCTTCCTTGAACGTTTCTATTCCGACAGCTGAAAAATCAAGACGAATTCTTGCAAGCAGAGCGAAAAAGTAGTGACTAATGCCGCATTGGTCAAATCTCACACGCATGAACAGCTTTTTCAGGAAATGCCTAAATTTTAAGTTCCTTCTCTTTCAACTGTTTTGGCGTGAAAGTGTTTATAAACAATCAACACTGGTATTTTTCAGGCTCTAAGCTCTCTGGAAGTAGAACGAATGACCGAAAATACTGTGCTTAATACAGTTTTATACTTTATTCTGGGTACCGTAGCCGGATTTTCAACGTTTGCTTCGGGCGCGTTGTTTGGTACTGTTGGTGAACGTATGTCCATGAGACTTCGAGTTGCTGTTTTCACGGTAAATCATACACCTTGACGTTTGCTAAAATTACCGAAGATATCTCACGGTGGTCAAAGAGTGGAAAAAATTGAGTCGAGATGGATATTCAATACATATGTATATAAAGCCTTAACATAATGTTCCTGTCTGACAAATCCTGTGCTGATAGTCCATCCAAAAGGGGAAACGGTCACCAGGATCAGTAGCAAGCTGACCACTGGGCATTGCAGCACTGGTCAAAGCAACTGGAAGAGTTACCAACCGCTTGAATTGCTCTTCATCAAAATACTCAAAGCAAGAACTACTGGATTTTTCCACTGCGCAATTGAGACTTAGAAAATTGATGTCAATGCGCTAAATAAAATAATCATGACTGTTACTACGCTCCTCTGTTACCACGAACTGTGAACCGCACGATGTTAGATTCCGCTATGAGAACGTGAAAGCAGCTTTACTTAGATTTGAGTAGTATATTACATCTAAAGGTAAAATTCACCTTCATTTAATTTCCTAGTGCTAGTTTACAGATATGTAGAAATATTATAGGTTTTCGATGCCTTTTCGCTCCAAATCTAGCAGTCAATGTCGAAAATAACATCCATTTGCTGTTTCAGAACATACTGCGGCAGGACGCATCGTTTTTTGATAACGAACTTCACTCCACTGGTAAACTGACAGCACGTCTTGCTACTGACGCGCAGAATGTTAAGGCGGTTCGTTTGCAAACTCGGAGAAACCGTTCAAAATTTTTTTATGAAATTTCTGCTTATCTTTCTCAGTGGTAAAGAACCAAATTTGACTGTTTGCTTTTTGACATTTGACAATCAAATGAATTTTTCCTTTTTGACATTTCTGAAAGTTCGTGTTATTAATAACACTAGAAATAGCCACTTGATAAGCCAAGGTCATTATTCCCATTGTTAATAAAAGAAATCTGCAGGCGATTGATCAACGTTTGGCGGAAGTTCTGCAGGGTGTTGTATCATTGTTTGCCGGTGTTATAGTAGCGTTTTTATTCGGCTGGAATATGGCTCCAATCGGAATCATCACCTGTGTCATTCTGGTAATCTTACAAAGTGCTGTGTCACAATATCTCAAATTTCGTGGCCAAAAAGATGTTCGAGTCGCCGAAGAAGCTGCAAGTGTAAGAAAATTTTCACGAAACTCTCAGATATGCATTTACACCTTGCAATTTCTGGGCTGATGAACCAAAACGCAGTGCACAAAAAAAAA